GGGAATATGAATGGCCAAAACGATCATCGTCATGTTAGGCTATTGCCAGTATTGATGAACCTTGACAAAACATCGCCTCAATTGAAGCAGCAATCCGCCACTGGCTTACTGTACCTAAAATTACGTATCATCTGCCTAGCCCAGAGCCTCATCTAAAGAGATCTTCATTTGTTTTTGGACTGAGCCCCGTCACATGCCTTTTCCCTTTGGCCTCCTCTCGCAAAAGTGCTTTGAGATCGATCCGACGTTGCTTCTGACAGTCCGAACTCGTAGCCATCACTGCTTGCCCGACACCCCTTGATGCAAGCAAAAATGCTCGTGCAGCCAATGGCCGAGTGCACGGCCAGGGCTCCAAAAACATGGACCCCATCACCAAACATACCATTGTTGTTCCAAGATTTTCTTTCCACAGCTCTTCCATTTCACATGCACAGTTCGTAGTATTGGCAAACCTGCGCCTTGTTAACTTTGATGCATATTCCAAGTTCCCAGCTGCATTGTTCCCCTTGTTGTGACCTTTGTGGTTTACCACGCCACGATGCAATATGCATGCCAGCCGCGAGGTGATGGACAAGCTCACTACAGCTGTGCAAGCTCAAGGTGATCCCCACTGTGCAGTTCACTTTGAAGTCTTTGATGTGAGCTTTGGACATCACAAACAGTATAGCTGCGAAGCCCACCCGCTGAACATCTGGACGAGTTTGCATGGTCCAAGTGGTCACCGCCCTTTTCGTGTGCATTTTTCTTGCAGCAAAGCTGCGAGATCAAGGCAACGCCACTCTTCGCCTGAAAGGATGTCCTGGGTGGCCCACCTGAACTCGTAGCCGTAAGCACTTGCCTGGTGACGCTTGGTACCGGTACATGCATAAATCCTCTTTGAGCAAATGCCGAGGTCAGCGGCAGCGCTGCGGATAGATGAATGTTTTGTCCACTCTTTGCTGTTCTGTAGTCTGCTCTCCACTGGTCTGCTCATACGGTTTCTGATGCCTGTTTTCGAAAAAAGTGTGCCATGTTTTCAGAACGTGTCACGTACTCCAGATTTTCAGCTGCAATATTGCCTTTGTCCAGGTCTTTGTGATTAACATACATGTGATGTTGAGATGGAGGCGGTCCCAGAAATGCTAATGCCACTAGACGATGGACAAGCTCAACGCGTTTGTCAGAGTTTAGACTGACGCCAGTTCTGTAGTACCCTGACTTCTCCACGCACCCCCAAGATATCCGGCCGCTTATGGATTTGACCCTGCCAAGCGAACTTACCATCCGCCCAGGCACCTTCAGGCCTGATACCGGATCATACATTTGTTGCCAGTCCTCTGCCTCCAGTGCTCCTCTCTCATGACTGCTGCAAGTTGAAACTCATAGCCTTTCACTGCTTTGCCTTGACGGCACCCCCTCGCAAACTGAAGGCCAGCTCATGCCAAGCTCCGCTGCTGCCTGTGTCATTGATGGGGAGATATTCCAGCTTTGGGATTCAATAGCTCTCCACATCACAGGTATGCCGCCACAACGTCTAGTTTGACTGGCATACGAGGCAATGATGTTCTGGCTTGGTGTTACATACTCCAAGTTGTCCAAACGATTGTTGGCCTTGTTGCCATCGCGGTGATGCACCTGCCATGTCAAGTCATCAGGTAAAGGACCGAGAAAAGCGAAGGCCACCAAGCGATGGACCAAAAAGGAATTGCCTGCCATCTGGACCCTGCAGTAGCCCGTTTGCTGCAAGTGTCCATATGATGTTTGTCCTCTAGTGTTGCGCACCCTGCCATGAGAACTCACCTGCCAGCCTGCTGCAGCTCCACCGGTTTGGAGGGGCCCACTGGACATGCTTCTCCAAGCATAAGCAAAGGCAAAACTTCTGGCGCCAAACAAGTCTTGCCAAGTCTGGCTGGAAGCTGATCGAACAACAACAAGCGCCATAGCCCGACTTCAAGATTCCAAACCTAAACTTTCTGGGAACATCTGGGAACACAATCTGTCGCCTTAAATGCACGCAGCACAATCCGCACGCATCACCTCCCCTTTGAGATCACCTGGGTCTAGCAACTACGCCACACCACCCCCTGAAACTCCAATACCACCTCGAATCATACCTTTGTGATTATGCTGGGGTTCCTGAACCTGATCTGAACAAAATGAGCCAAGTCGTTGCGGAGTTGCCTAGGCGGACAATTTGCTGCCTTCTTGGATGGGGCCTTGATGCTTTGGATCAGCCCAGGTTGAGTTGTTGGAATGGAACACCTGCATACAAAATGGATTATTCTCAAAACAGGGTGACCCTGAATAAGTGTTGGTCTACTTTCAGACTTTCCTTCCTCAGGGTCCTCTTATTTCAATCAACACCGAAATTTGAAACATGTGACAGCCTTAAGCCATTAAAATCCTATTGTATCCTATTGTGATTGAAGCAGTCAACTGTGTAACTATTGCTATTACGATGTTCTCCAAGAGTTCCAAAGAAGCACCTGGTTAACTTGAAGAAGGTTGCATATCTACGAGCTGGACTCCCGGACTCATGGACTTTACTCGAGCTGTCTGTCACATCGGGCAATCACGGATTCTGGGGCCCCTGTTTTGCACAATGGTAGCCAATGCAGTCAATTGACAAAGCCTTATGACACCATTTCGCACAGCCAGCCATCTCCTATCTTATATCTTGGATTCGGACTGATGCAAAGAACAAACCATGTAATGCAGATGCTGTAAATGACTCTATCCTTCAATGGCTCATTTCCAATGATCGGTTCCATGTCACCAACCTGCCAGGCCCAACTATCCAAGTCTTTTCGATCGCAGATCGATCTTTGTAGCATTTGTACAAGGCTCTAGCTGGGAAGTGGATGGCCACCGCGCTTTTCGCAAGACCTTTTCTCGAAGCAAAGCTGCGAGATCAAGGCAACGCCACTCTTCACCTAAAAAGATTTCCTGGGTGGCCAACCTGAACTCGTAGCCGCAAGCGCTTGCCCGGTGTTGGTTGATGCAAACAGAAATGCTTGTGCGGCTAATGCCGAGTGTAGCGGCAGTGCTGCGAATGGATGGATGTTTTGTCCGCTCTTTGCTGCTTTTTAGTCTGCTCTCCACCGGTCTGCTCATACGGTTTCTGATGCCTGTGTTCGAAAAAAAATGTGCCATGTTTTCAGAACGTGTCACGTACTCTAGATTTTCAGCTGCATTATTGCCTTTGTCCAGGTCTTTGTGATTAACATACATGTGATGTTGAGATGGAGGCGGTCCCAGAAATGCTAATGCCACTAGACGATGGACAAGCTCAACGCGTTTGTCAGAGTTTAAGGTGATGCCCATCCTGTAGTACCCTGACTTCTCCAAGCATCCCCAAGATACCAAGCCTTTTTGGGATTTGATCCGGCCAAAAGAGCTCACCATCTGTCCAGGCACCTTCAGGCCTGACACGGGATTGTACATCTGTTGCCAGTCCTCTCCGTCCAGCGCTCCTGTCCCCTGACTGTCCGCAAGATGAACATCATAGCCTTTCACTGATTTACGATGGTGGGAGGCATAGGAAACTGACCACCGGCTCACACCAAGCTCCGCTGCAGCCTGTGTCATTGATGGGGGGATATTCCAGCTTTGGGACTCAACAGCTCTCCACATCACAGGCATGGACCGCTGAGCCGCGCCACAACGTCTATTTTTACTGGCATACGAGGCAACAGTGTTCTGGCTGGGCGTTACATTTTCCAAGTTGTCCAAACTATTGTTGGCCCTGTTGCCATCGCGGTGATGCACCTGGCATGTCAAGTCATCAGGTGGAGGACCGAGAAAAGCCAATGCCACCAACCGATGGACCAAAAAGAAATTGCCTGATATCTTGACGGTGTGGTAGCCTGATGGCTGTAAGCATCCATATGATACTTCTCCTCTGCTGTTGCACACCCGGCCATAGGAACTGACCTGCCAGCAGTTTTCGACTCCACATTGTTGGATGGGCCCACTGGATGTGCTTCTCCAAGCATGAGCAAACGCAAAACCTCTGGCACCAAACAATGCTTTCCATATCTGGCTGGAACCAGCTCCAATAACGATAATAAGCACCATAGCCCGACTTCACAATTCCAATCCAAAACTTTCCGTGAACACAATCTGTTGCTGTAAATTAGCTGGGCACGCATCACCTCTCTTGGGATGATCTGGCGATATATATCTGAGGTATCTTCCGACTATACCAACCATCCCCCCAAAACTCTAGTAGTGTTGGACAGGAACTCCCTGGAAGAGATGTATTGATAATCCTGGCTCCTTGGCTCTTTACTGAGCATGAAAAAGCTTGTAGTCATACCGGACACGTTTGGATTCCTATATAAGCCTTCATGAGCCAAGTTGCCAAGTCGTTGCAGAGTTGCCCCAGGCGGATCATTTGCTTCTGCAGCCAGTTCTTGGATGGGGTCCTGGAGCCTTGGACGAGCTTCGGTTGGGGTTGTTGGGATGGAATACCTGACTATCAAATGGGTTCGTCCGTCTCAAAACAGGAGGACTCCGAATCATGTTTGCTCTACTTTCCTTCTTCCATTATTTCAATCGACACCCAAATTTGAAGCATGTGATAGATGTGATAGCTATTGAAAACCTATTGCAATCGAAGCAGTGAACTTTGGTACCTAGAGTTCCGAAGAAGCAACTGGTTGATTTGAAGGAAGTTGAAGGTCTACCATCTGGACTGCCGAATTCATGGGCGTTACTCAAACTGCTCGTCACATCAGGCAAACGCGGATTCTGGTGCACCGGGTTACCGGGTTTCCAAATTGCAGCCAATTGGTAAAGCATTACGACACCATTTCGCACAGTCAGCCATCTCCTATCTCGGATTCGAATTGATGCAAAGAACGAACCATTTTAATGCAATTGCTGTAAATGACCCTTTCCTTCAATGGCTGAACTCCTCTGCCAGGCCAAATTCACTCAGTCTCTTCGATCCCCGATTGATCTTTGCAGCATCAGTTTGTTCAATCAAGGCTCCAGCTGGGAAGTGGTCACCGCCCTTTTCGTGTGGCTTTTTCTTGCAGCAAAGCTGGGAGATCAAGGCAACGCCACTCTTCGCCCGAAAGGATGTCTGGGGTGGCCAATCTGAACTCGTAGCCGCAAGCACTTGCCTGGTGTTGGTTGATGCAAGCAGAAATGCTCGCGGTGGAAATGTCGAGGGCAGCGGCAGCGCGGCGGATAGACGAATGTTTTGTCCACTCCTTGCTGTTCTTCAGTCTGCTCTCGACTGGTCTGCCACTCCTGCAATTTCTGATGCTTGCATTCAAATAAAAGTGTGACATGTTTTCAGATTGTGTCACATACTCCAGGTTTTCAGCTGAATTATTTGCTTTGCCCAGGTCCTTGTGGTTGACATATACACGACATTGTGATGGAGGCGGTCCCAGAAATGCAAATGCCACAAGACGATGGACATACTCCACTCGTTTGTCAGAGTTTATCAAAGTGATGCAGGTCCTGCAGTACCCTGACTTCCCTAAGCATCCCCAAGATATCAGGCCGCTTATGGATTTGACCCTGCCAAGCGAGCTCACCATCCGCCCAGGCACCTTCAGGCCTGACACAGGATCATACATTTGTTGCCAGTCCTCTCCGTCCAGTGCTCCTGTCTCATGACTGTCCGCAAGTTGAATCTCATAGCCTTTCACTGCTTTGCCACCATGGCACCCTCTCGCAACTGAATGCCGGCTCATGCCAAGCTCTGCTGCTGCTTCTTTCATTGAGGGGGAAGTGGTCCAAGTTCGGGACCCACCAGCTCTCCACAACACAGGTATGGACCGCCGAGCCCCGCCACAACGTCTAGTTTGGCTGGCATAAGAGGCAATGATGTTCTGGCTGGGCGACACATATTCCAAGTTGTCCAAAGAATTGTTAGCCTTGTCGCCATCACGGTGATGCACCTGCCATGTCGAGCCGTCAGGTGGAAGACCGAGAAAAGCCAAGGCCACCAAGCGATGGACCAAAAAGAAATTGCCTGATATCATGACGGTGTGGTAGCCTGATGGCTGTAAGCATCCATATGATACTTCTCTTCTGCTGTTGCACACCCGGCCATAGGAACTGACCTGCCAGCAGTTTTCGACTCCACATTGTTGGATGGGCCCACTGGATGTGCATCTGCGAGCATTAAAAAATTGCAAAGTTTTTGGTGCCAACTCTTGCCATGTCCGTCTGGAAATGGCCCAACTAACAAACGCCATAGCACGACTTCAAATGTTATAAGCACTGTTAAGAGCTACTTTAGTTGTCCATCTTCACAATCTCCTTCGTGTTCTGACTCTTCGGAGCCCAACAACACTGTTGAATCACTATCAATCTCTCACCATCTCTCTCACCATAATCTACCAAAACAAGCTGCCGGGAGCCATGGGGTGCCGTGGGGAATGCTTCAACACAGCGGAGGATACTTCTAAGAGTAGGCACTTTCATAGGAACCAATCTCCTGACATCACCCACTCCTGACAGCTTGATTCTGCTCGTCTTGTGAGCAACCCGACGGAACAGAATCAAGAAGAGATTGCTGGCACTATTGCCTGAGAAGGTTCCCTGGAACCAAAAAACAACACAGCGCATGCCTGATCAAATTATCCACATCCCAAACTTGAGGCCGAGGGTTGGTGACGAAAGCTAGCAGGGCGGGGGTAAATGGGGGCCCACTATGCCAGCGGAAATGCACACGTCGCAAAGACGTCCCAGGGAGGAGTTGAAACCCCCGAGGGAAGGGTTCTCCACCAAAATATGAAGTTTTCACGCGATGCGGCACTCTTGAGGATTCCAGCCCCTCACCTGCTGAAGCAAGAACAACTCCAGCTAGCTGGTGCTAGCTTTCGTGAGTAGCACTTCAGTTGGAAACCCAAGTCAACACCTCCAAATTCCAATGTCATCCACCCCATGTCAAACCCGATGTCCATCCCCCTTCCCTTTTCGCCCAAGCATCTCTCTGGAAGGCCTTCAGCAAGGGACGCAGCTCAGGTGACGGGTCGCACCTTCTTCGCCCTGGCCTACCACGTCACTGCCAGGCGCGAACTTCTGGACGCTGACTTTTGGCCTCGGGGCACAAGGGGATAAGGCTGCGGAAGGAACCATGTCAAGGCAGCCGATTTAACTTGTGCATACCATTCTGGTTTTCAGTCAAGAGATGTAGACTCTAACACAAGTAATTAATCATGGATTGGGGCTGAAACAAATCCACTTACTGGTGATCCTTTTCTTGTTGTTTAGTTTTTCACTTTTAAGGACAGCTTAGAAGGAAAGGGCCGTGGGAATAATTGGCCAAAACAATCATCGTCATGTTAGACTATTGCCGGTATTGATGAACCTTGACAAAACATCGCCTCATTTGAAGCAGCAATCCGCCTACCAAACTATATCATCTGCCTGGCCCAAAGCCTTATCTAAAATCATCTATATAAAGAGATCTTCATTTGCTTTTGGACTGAGCCCCATCACATGCCTTTTCCCTTTGGCCTCCTCTCGCAAAAGGGCTTTCAGATCGATCCAACGCTGCTTCTGACAGTCTGAACTCGTAACCATCACTGCTTGCCTGACACCCCTTGATGCAAGCAACAATGCTCGTGTGGCCAATGTCCGAGTGCACGGCCAGTGCTCCAACAAAATGGACCCCGTCACCAAACATATCATTGCTGTTCCAAGGTTTTCTTTCCACAGCTTTTCCGTTTCACATGCACAGTTCGTTGTATTGGCAAACCAGCGCCTTGTTAACTTTGATGCATATTCCAAGTTCCCAGCTGCATTGTTCCTCTTGTCATTGTGGTTCACCACGCCATGATGCTGGGAAACAGGGAGTATATGCCAGCCGCGAGGTGATGGACAAGCTCACTACAGCTGTGCAAGCTCCATGTGATCCCAACTGACTGTGCACTTCAAAGTCAAGTCTTTGATGTGGTCCAGCTTTGGAACCCCACAGCTCCCCACATCACAGGTATAGCTGTGAAGCCCACTCCGCCGAACATCTGGAAGAGTTTGCATGGTCCAAGTGGTCACCGCGCTTTTCGTGTGGCTTTTTCTCGAAGCAAAGCTGCGAGATCAATGCAACGCCACTCTTCGCCTGAAAGGATATCCTGGGTGGCCCACCTGAGCTCGTAGCCACAAGCACTTGCCTGGTGACGCTTGGTACGGGTACATGCATAAATCTTCTTTGAGCAAATGCCGAGGTCAGCTGCAGCGCTGCGGATAGATGAATGTTTTGTCCACTCTTTGCTGCTTTTTCCCCTGCTCTCCACTGGTCTGCTCATACGGTTTCTAAAGCCAGTGCTTGCAAAAAAGTGTGCCATGTTTTCAGATCGTGTCACGTACTCCAGGTTTTCAGCTGAGTTGTTCCCTTTGTCCAGGTCTTTGTGGTTGACATATGCATGATCTTGAGATGAAGGCCGCCCCAGAAATGCAAATGCCACAAGACGATGGACAAGCTCAACACGATTTTCAGACTTTAAGCTGATGCCGGTCGTGTAGTACCCTGACTTCCCTAAGCATCCCCAAGATACCAGGCCTGATTTGGACTTGATCCGACCAAACGAGCTTACCATCCGTCCAGGCACCTTCACGCCCGACGCAGGATCATACATTTGTTGCCAGTCCTCTCCGTCCAGTGCTCCTGTCTCATGACTGTCCGCAAGGTGAATCTCATAGCCTTTCACTGCTTTGCGGCCATGGCACCCTCTCGCAACTGAATACAGGCTCATGCCAAGCTCCGCTGCTGCCCGCGTCATTGATGGGGAGATGCTCCAGCTTTGGGACTCAACAGCTCTCCACATCACAGGTATGGACTGCCGAGCTCCGCCACAACGTCTAGTTTTGCTGGCAAACGAGGCAGTGGTGTTCTGGCTAGGCGTTACATACTCCAAGTTGTCCAAACAATTGTTGGCCTTGTTGCCATCGCAGTGATGCACCTGCCATGCCGAGTCATCAGGTGGAGGACCCAAAAAAGCCAAGGCCACCAAGCGATGGACATAAAAAGAATTGCCCGACATCTGGACCCTATAGTAGCCTGCTGACTGTAAGCATCCATATGATATGACTCCTTTGGTGTTGCACACCCGGCCATAGGAACTCACCTGCCACCTTGCTGCAGCTCCACTGGCTCACAGGGGCCCACTGGACATGCTTCTCCAAGCACAAGCAACGGCAAGACTTCTGGCGCCAAACAACTCTTGCCAAGTCTGGCTGGAAGCTGATTGAACAACGAAAAGCGCCATGGCAAGTCCAAACTAAACTTTCTGGGAACACAATACGTCACTATGTTGCCGTAAATGGGAAAAGCAAAATGCACACGCATCAATCACCCCTCCTTTGAGATAATCAAGGGTAGCTTCCAACTAATTACGCCAAACCGCCCCTCAAAACTAGGGTTGCCTCAAATTACACTTTTGTGATCATATACCGGACGTGTTTGGATTTCTCCTTATCTGATACACATGAGCCAAGTCGTTGCAGAGTTGCTCAGGTGGATCATTGGCTTCTACAGCCTGGTGATGGGGGCTTCTTGGATGGGGGCCCTGGAACCTTGAACCTTGGACGGGATGGAATGGCGGACCATCAAATGGGTTCGTCAGTCTCATAGAGGACGACTCCGCATAGTTTTCGCTCTACTTTACTTCTTCCTTGAACTTATTTCAACTATGTTCAATCCACACACAAGTTTGAAGCATGTGATAGCTATCAAATTCCTACCGTGATTGAAGCAGTGTGAACTTTCTCCTCTATAGTTCCGAAGAAAATGTGAAGAAAGTTGAAGGTCGGACTGCCGAAGTCATGAGCTTTACTTAAACTGTCTGTCACATCAGGGAATCTCGGATTCTGTTTTCCGTTGTTCTCCAAGATGCCAGCAAACGCAGCGACAAAGTCTTACGACACCATTTTGATACGAGATGTGGACTGATGTGAAGAACGTGTGTAATTACTGCAATTAAACTGACCGAATTCCAATGGCAGGTTCATGTCATCAACCTGCCAGGCCGAATTTCCAAGTCTCTTCGATCGCAGATCGATCCTTGCGCATCAGTGTGTACAAGGCTCTAGCTGGGGAGTGGATGGCCACCGCCCTGTTCGTGTCGCTTTTTCTCGAAGCAAAGCTGGGAGATCAAGGCAACGCCACTCTTCGCCTGAAAGGATGTCCTGGGTGGCCAACCTGAACTCGTAGCCGCAAGCGCTTGCCTGGCGTCGGCTGATGCAAGCAGAAATGCTTGCCGTGCAAATGCCGAGTGCAGCAGCAGCGCTGCGGATGGATGGATGCTTTGTCCACTCCTTGCCGTTTTTTGGTCTGCTCTCCACTGGTTTGCCGCTGATACGGCTTCTCATGCTAGTGTTCGAGTAAAAGTGAACCAGGTTTTCAGAACATGTCACGTACTCCAGGTTCTCAGCTGAGTTGTTTTTTTTGTCCAGGTCTTTGTGATTAACATACATACGATGCTGAGATGGAGGCGGTCCCAGAAATGCAAAAGCCACTAAACGATGGACAAGCTCAACGCGTTTGTGAGAATTTAAGCTGATGCTGGTCCTGTAGTACCCAGACTTCTCCAAGCATCCCCAAGATGTCAAGCCAAGTTGGGATTTGATCCTGCCAAAAGAGCTCACCATCCTTCCAGGCACCTCTAGGCCTGACACAGGATCGTACATCTGTTGCCAGTCCTCTCCTTCCAGTGCTCTTGTCTCCTGACTGTCTGCAAGTTGAAACTCATAGCCTTTCACTGATTTACCAGTACGATGGTGGGAGGCACTGGAGACTGACCACCGGCTCACACCAAGCTCCGCTGCTGCCTGCGTCATTGATGGAGAGGTATTCCAGATTTGGGACTCAACAGCTCTCCACATCACAGGCATGGACCGCTGAGCTCCGCCACAACGTCTAGTTTGGCTTGCATACGAGGCAATAGTGTTCTGGCTTGGCGTTACATACTCCAAGTTGTCCAATGAATTGTTGGCCTTGTTGCCATCGCGGTGATGCACCTGCCATGTCGAGTCATCAGGTGGAGGACCTAGAAAAGCCAAGGCCACCAAGCGATGGACATAAAAAGAATTGCCCGACATCTTGACCCTACAGTAGCCTGTTGCCTGTAAGCATCCATATGATACTTCTCCTCTGCTGTTACACACCCGGCCACGGGAACTGACTTGCCAGGAGCTTTCGGCTCCGCATTGTTGGATGGGCCCACTGGATGTGCATCTCCAAGAATAAGAATTTACAAAGTTTCTGGTGCCAAAAAACTCTTGCCATGTCCGTCTGGAAATGGCCCGACTAGCAAACGCCATTGCGCGACTTCAAACGCTAAGGCTACTTTACCTTCTTTAATAATAGCCGCCGTCTTCACAATCTCCTTCATGTGCTGACTGTTTGGAACCCATCTATAAAATTCTATAACCCATCTATATAAACACACATGCATAAATGCCCACTTGACTTTGCTCAGTCAAGAATAGGACCTACCCATGTAACATGTGTCGCGAATTTGATCGGTGGTTTTTGAATGTTGCAGTCTGGAAATGCATGCCTTAAGAACCAAATCGATACAACAAACATCGGTGGGCCGGGACGTTGGAGGGAACTCGGATCCAGCATGTTCAATGTTGCCGAAAGAGATGGGGTGAAGATCTGTGGAACCAAGTGCCACTCACATCAGCAAAAAATCACGGCTCAAAAACACAAACACGTGACTCTGTGATAGGGCTGGGATAGGTTATATGAGAGTGCATATCCTTTGAAGCGTCCACCGCTGTGCTGAAGCATTCCCCCCCAGGGTGGCAGCTATGGCTCCAGGTGGCTTCATGTAGTCCACTCTCTTACTTTTGCAACACTTCCAATACGTATCAAGAAGCTGGGCAGCTCTTGTGTTGGCAGCTATGGTGAGAGATTGGATGGTTGACAATGTTGGTGTACATTGGTTTTTTGACAAGCAGCAATATTGTTTTCTTGCACTCAACATGTCTGTGATTGGGAATGGATGCTGCTCACAGTCAGCAATATATAATGGCATTATCCGTCCTATTGTTTTCATCAGCACTGGTCTTCAGCACGGCCAAAAGCAAATGGATAAATCAAGAAAAAGTCTGCCCGTCCCAGGATCCTTTGCATGATGAGATCGCCACGAATTGACACTAGGCCTTCGACTTCTTACCCTCCCACCCAATCCGCTTCTTTCATCCCAGCGGCTCGCGGTAAACACTTCAGAAGCGGCACCTGTAGCTGGGACTGGGAGCAGCACCAAGGGTTCGGAAGGGTGCTCCAAAAACACATGCCCCTTGATTCCCTTGCATGTGTTGCAAAACACAGCCATGGAATGAACATCTTTGGCTGCACATATTCATATCTACCTACCCTTAACTGCTGCAAGATTTCGACCCCATTCGACCTGGACAGCAAAGACACAGTCTTCACTCATTGACTTGAACCCACATCGATCCACCACTTCACCACCCCTATCGAATCCAACTCCCCAAGCACCAAAGCCACCACCATCTGCCTAGTCATCTGCCTGTCTCAAAAACTCGGTGAGTTCCTGCACCCAAGCTCAAGGCCGACCAGCTCCTGCCGTCATCCGCCCGGCATCGCGAAAGGCACTGTGGCAATGCTGACAGGACTTGGAGAACGCTGAAGATTCAGGAAACCTGAAAGCCCAATATGAATGTGAATGTTGGAACCCAGGGACGCCCAAATGTGCTTCTGCCTGTTCGAACTTCCTTCCTGTCTGCCAAGAAGAGGAAAAACAGAAGCAATGACAACAACAAGAACAACAAACCAACCGTCTGCCATGAACCCCCTCCTGGACTTCGATTCCATTCCCTTCCCCTTTCCCCCTTCGGCCTGGCCAGAAAGGGTCGACTGGACTTGGAGCTTTGGCTCTTGGGACTCAATGGGCTGGGCTCCGGCGAGGAGGGTCCCGAGGACCTGCCGCGGAATGGAAACACGGAAGACGCCCGAAGATCACCGAGCCCATCCGGAGCCGCGTTACAAAAAGGAACGGGCGAGAAGTGTCTATAGAGTCTAGATAAGTCTAGATGCATGGCTGGAGATTTGCTGGAGCTGAGAAGTGTGCTTATTTGATTGGAATTCTGGGTGTTCAGGAAGAGCTGGAGTTTCTTGTGGGGGGTCCAATTCCAAGTTGTTGTACCCAAAAGGTGGGGATTGAGTTTCCAGCAGTTTTGAAGGATTTATGATGATTCAAGAAGCTTCTGAGTTCGAGGGGGTTGCAAAAGCTGGGCCATCATGATCGATCTCAAATGGTCTTGTTCGCAAAAGCTGGGCCTACATATCATGATCGACCTCAAACGGTTTTGTCAGTAATACGGCTCATTGGCTTATGTTGAAACAAACAGCTCCAACTGCCCAGCCGATGATGTTTAATTTTCTTTTTCCGGGTGGTTTCTTTCTCTGTGCTTCCATACTCACCAAGTCATGCCGGTGTCTTTCTTGCATTGAAGAGAGTTGGCTGAAGCCCGCTCAAACCGAGCCAAAGCGATAAACATTCCACGCACCGATGGGCTCTTCAGAGCTCCCCCCGTCCTGCCGAAGAACTGCCGCCCACCCAAGCTCAAGCTTCCGGTGCCAGGACTCACCTGGGGGTCGAGGCATTTTGCCCAGACATCATCTGACTGTAGAGACTGATGTAGATAGATGACTTCTCCCAAAGCCAAAGGTGTAGGATATTTATGGTGGGTTAGCTGATTGTTGCTTAGAGCATATTCAAAAGAACAGGTTGAAATGGACTCAAACAGTTGGTTCAAAGGAGTTTCGGACAGTCATCAGACCCAAATAGCTTTGGGTCAAGCATAGTGATGGAATCTGGAAGTTTTGTTCAGCTGGATGGTGTGCTCACATGTCGTATCACCACCCGTTGTGATACAAGTACCAGCCAACCAGCCATCTTGCATTCAAACCTGTGAACATCGCACCGCCAAATTGGATCCATCCCCGTCCCTCCCGCACCAAAGGGTGGGGCGATTGTTCTGGAAGCTGCAACATGCCCGCGGAGTCCAAGCGAACGACCGTGTGGCCCCATGCCGCGCAAAGCATGTGATCATATATGACCTCATATCCTCTCTAATCCTCTACATGAGAGAGGCCTGCTCCGGAATGAAACAACCAACAGGTCTCTCTGAGATTCGTTAAGCAATTGTTGAAAGCCACCTGTGAACCCGAGGAAGGTCGGCTCCCTTTCGGGGTGGAACATTCTGTGGTTTGAAGACTGCCCAAAAAAGCATGCAAAATATGCAAACAACTCTTGCACTACAGTACCAGGGGAGTGGAACCAAGCAATCCACAGCTGTATCTTTAAAAGCCAGCTACCAACTATGTGGAATTCACAAGCCATGAACTTTCTTCTACAGTAGAGTTCGAATTGAAATTGTTGGCTATCCACTTTGCGCGTTTCTTCAACACGCAAATCTCCAACTCATCATCATCTCATCCTCCCCCCCGAAACTCATCGTCCCAAGCCACCGGCCCCAAAGGTGTCCAGGGCGGCGAGGAGGGCGACGCCGGCTCCTCGTCATTGAAGAGCACCTGTGAAGGGGTGGGTCCAAAAGTTCGGAAGCCTGGTTGACCCCAAAAGTGGAAGAAATTCCTTCCAAGAAATTGACCTTTTTGATGCCTGACCTATGCCTATATACCACATAATAGTCATAAGATGTCATAAGGCATAACATTAATAAGGCATGACATTAATAATGTTCAAAGATGTTTAAAAAAAATCACGGGTTATCATGTTTTAAAAAAAGAAACATGCCAATCGATCCCATGGAGGTCTTGTTTTGGAAGCCTCACCTGCCGCGTGAAGGATCTCGAGGTCGGCGACTCCTCCAGCTCCACTGGGCGACTCGGTCGACTGCGGCTGCCACCCATGGCGCCGAAGCAGCACGCGCTTTCGGCCGGGTGCGCGTGTGGTGTGGTGCTGCGCAGGTCTCTGAGGTCGAGGAGAGGAGTGGAGTGATCAGGTCTGAGGTCTGAGTGGGTGGGTGGAGTGAGTGTGATTGGGGCTCTGAGTTTGAGAGGGTGGGGTGGGGTGGAGGAAAGTTTGGGCTGTTGATAATTGACTGGTATGTGGCTTGGGTGATGTGAAACAAGGGTTGGCTGGGGATGGCTAGGGGGATTCTGCTTTACAGTACCCTGTTTGGAACTCTCAATGGGCCGCAAGCATACAGTAATTATATAATACAGTTCTTTATTGAGAATGGTTTTCCTTGTCTCGCATACTATTGTGGCTTTATCTCCTCATCAGCTTGTCCATCGTGTAGGAGTATCATATGGTGTTGCCAGTGCATGCCTGGCTGTCCCATCCTTTGCGGCTTGAGCTGTCCAGAATTAGGCCACGGGATGTGATCATCAGTCATACAGAATATGCTGTGATGGCCTGCTACTCATGTGGCAGCTACACCTCATGCTCGAATGGATCCTCAATTGCAGTGCAACGGAAGTCTGTAGACTGTGGGGGGTTCTAGGGATTATGATTCCTCTGGGTATTTGCATGTCCAGGGGCCAGTAACCTTCAAAATGGATGTTTTGTCGACTTGTCTGAAGTCAGTAGGGCTAGTTGGAATGTTGCCTATTGGACGCTCCCAATCCAGTGGCAATGGACGCGCTACACAGTGTCACACAAACACCCAACCCAAACTCAGCAAAATGTTCTGTTCTATGACTGGTGATTTTGATGGACAAACAATCTCCCGCGACCTCTGCCTGTACGCAAATAAGAAGCAGCAATGATCAATCTTCCGTCCTTCCTTTTTTGATCTCCTTTCTCCGAGTCGACTGCACCAACCTCGGAGCGGGAGCCGTTGCAACGGAGGGGTCTACTTGGATGACTCTTATAGGGAAGCGTACTCCGCAGCTGATCCATTTGGAACCCCAGTGACGGAAGAAGTCTCCTGACATCACCCACTCCTGACAGCTTGATTCTGCTCGTCTTGTGAGCAACCCGACGGAACAGAATCAAGAAGAGATTGCTGGCACTATTGCCTGAGAAGGTTCCCTGGAACCAAAAAACAACACAGCGCATGCCTGATCAAATTATCCACATCCCAAACTTGAGGCCGAGGGTTGGTGACGAAAGCTAGCAGGGCGGGGGTAAATGGGGGCCCACTATGCCAGCGGAAATGCATACGTCGCAGAGACGTCCCAGGGAGGAGTTGAAACCCGAGGGAAGGGTTCTCCACCAAAATATGAAGTTTTCACGCGATGCGGCACTCTCGAGGATTCCAGCCCCTCACCTGCTGAAGCAAGAACAACTCCAGCTAGCTGGTGCTAGCTTTCGTGATCAGCACTTCAGTTGGACACCCAAGTCAACCCCTCCAATGTCATCCACCCCATGTCAAAGTCGATGTCCATCCGCCCAATTCTCGCCCAAGCATCTCTCTGGAAGGCCTTCAGCAAGCGACGCAGTTCAGGTGACTTTGCATCTTCTTCGCCCTGGCGTACCACGTCGCTGCCGGGCGGGAACTTCTGGACGCCGGCCACTTCAGTAAGGAAGCTGACTTTGGCCTCGGGGCACAAGGGGATAAGGCTGCGGAAGGAACCATGTCAAGGCAGCCGATTTAACTTGTGCATACCATTCTGGTTTTTGAGTCAAGAGATGTAGACCCTAACAAAAGTAATGAATCATGGATTGGGGCTGAAACACATCCACTTGCTGGTGATCCTTTTCTTGTTGTTTAGTTTTTCACTTTTAAGGACAGCTTAGAAGGAAAGGGCCGTGGGAATAATGGCCAAAACGATCATCGTCATGTTAGACTATTGCCGGTATTGATGAACCTTGACAAAACATCGCCTCATTTGAAGCAGCAATCGGCCACTGGCTTACTGTACCTAAAATTGAGAATATCATCTGCCTAGCCCAGAGCCTCATCTAAAGATTAGATCTTCGCTTGCTTTTGGACTGAGCCCCGTCACATGCGTTTTCCCTTTGGCCTCCTCTCGCAAAAGTGCTTTGACCTCCTCTCGCAAAAGTGCTTTGAGATCGATCCGACGTTGCTTCTGACAGTCCGAACTCGTAGCCGTCACTGCTTGCCCGACACCCCTTGATGCAAGCAAAGATGCTCGTGCAGCCAATGGCCGAGTGCACGGCCAGTGCTCCAAAAAAATGGACCCCGTCACAAAACATATCATTGCTGTTCCAAGGTTTTCTTTCCACCTCTTTTCCGTTTCACATGCACAGTTCGTAGTATTGGCAAACCATGCACAGTTTGATGCGTATTCCAAGTTCCCAGCTGCATTGTTCCTCTTGTTGTGACCTTTGTGGTTTACCACGCCACGATGCAAGATGCATGCCAGCGGCAAGGCGATGGACGAGCGATGAGCTCACTACAGCTGTGCAAGCTCAAGGTGTGCACTTCACTTTGAAGTCTTTGATGTGGTCCATCTTTGGGACCCCACAGCTCCCCACATCACAGATAGTATAGCTGCGAAGCCCACCCCGCCGAACATCTGGACGAGTTTGCATGGTCGAAGTGGTCACCACCCTTTTCGTGTGGCCTTTTCTCGAAGCAAAGCTGGGAGATCAATGCAACGCCACTCTTCGCCTGAAAGGATGTCCTGGGTGGCCCACCTGAATTCGTAGTCGCAAGCACTTGCCCGGTGACGGTTGGTACGGGTACATGCATAAATCTTCTTTGAGCAAATGCCGAGGTCAGCGGCAGCGCTGCGGATAGATGCATGTTTTGTTCACTCATTGCTGCTTTTTCCTCTGCTCTCCACTGGTCTGCTCATACGCTTTCTAAAGCCAGTGCTTGCAAAAAAGTGTGCCATGTTTTCAGATCGTGTCACGTACTCCAGGTTTTCAGCTGAGTTGTTCCCTTTGTCCAGGTCTTTGTGGTTGACATATGCATGATCTTGAGATGAAGGCCGCCCCAGAAATGCAAATGCCACAAGACGATGGACAAGCTCAACACGATTTTCAGACTTTAAGCTGATGCCGGTCGTGTAGTACCCTGACTTCCCTAAGCATCCCCAAGATACCAGGCCTGATTTGGACTTGATCCGACCAAACGAGCTTACCATCCGTCCAGGCACCTTCACGCCCGACGCAGGATCATACATTTGTTGCCAGTCCTCTCCGTCCAGTGCTCCTGTCTCATGACTGTCCGCAAGTTGAATCTCATAGCCTTTCACTGCTTTGCGGCCATGGCACCCTCTCGCAACTGAATCCAGGCTCATGCCAAGCTCCGCTGCTGCCTGCGTCATTGATGGGGAGATGTTCCAGCCTTGCGACCCATCAGCTCTCCACATCACAGGTAAGGACCGCCGAGCCCCGCCACAACGTCTAGTTTGGCTGGCATAAGAGGCAATAGTGTTCTGGCTGGGCGAGACATATTCCAAGTTATCCAATGAATTGTTGGCCTTGTCGCTATCACGGTGATGCACCTGCCATGTCAATTCATCAGGTGGAGGACCGAGAAAAGCCAAGGCCACCAAGCGATGGACATAAAAGTGATTGCCTGCCATCTGGACCTTGCGGTAGCCCGTTTGCTGCAAGTGTCCATATGAGATTGCTCCTCTGGTGTTGCACACCCGGCCATGGGAACTCACCTGCCAGCCTGCTTGAGCTCCACTGGTTTGGAGGGGCCCACTGGACATGCTTCTCCAAACACAAGCAGCGGCAAGACTTCTGGCGCCAAACAACTCTTGCCAAGTCTGGCCGGAAGCTGATCGAACAACAAAAAGCGCCATCGCCCGACTTCAAAATTCCAAGCTAAACTTTCTGGGAACACAATATGTCAATATGTTGCCGTAAATGGCAAATGGAGCACGCATCAATCACTCCTCCGTTGAGATAATCAGGGTATCTTCGAACTACGCCAAACGGCCCCCATACCTTTGTGATCATACCGGACGTTTTTGGATTCCTACACCTTATCTGAGCATGAGCCAAGTCGTTGCAGAGTTGCCCAGGCGGATCATTGGCTTCTGCAGCCCGGTGATGGGGGCTTCTTGGATGGGGTCCTGGAGCCTTGCACGAGCCACAAACACCTGACAATCAAGTGGGTTCGTCAGCCTCAAACAGGAGGACCCGGAATGCTTTGTATTATTTTAAACCGCACCTACATTAAAAAAGAAACATACTGTGATAGTGATAGATATTAAAGTCTGATCGATGCTGCTGTAAACTTTGTTCCCTAGAGTTCCGAAGAAGTGTCCATAGAGTCTAGATATGCCTAGATGCATGGCTGGAGATTTGCTGGAGCTGAGAAGTGTGCTTACAGTATTTGGTTGGAATTGTGGGTGTTCAGGAAGAGCTGGAGTTTCTTGTGGGGGGTCCAATTCCAAGTTGTTGTACCCAAAAGGTGGGGATTGAGTTTCCAGCAGTTTTGAAGGATTTATGATGATTTAAGGTCCTTCTGAGTTCGAGGGGGCTGCAAAAGCTGGGCCTACATACATATCATGATCGATCTCAAATGGTTTTGTCAGTAATACGGCTCATCAAAACATTGGCTTATGTTGAAACGAAAAGCTCCAAATGCCCAGCCGATGATGTTTAATCTTCTTTTTCTGGGTGGTTTCTTTCTCAGTGCTTCCACACTCACCCAGCCATGTGCCTGTGTCTTCCTTGCATTGAAGAGAGTGGCTGAAGCCCGCCCAAACCGAGCCAAAGCGAAACATTCCACGCACCGCTGGGCTCTTCAGAGCTCCCCCCCGGTCCTGCCGAAGAACTGCCGCCCACCCAAGCTCAAGCTTCCGGTGCCAGGACTCACCTGAGGGTCGAGGCATTTGCCCAGACATCATCTGACTGTTGTTGAGACTGTGGATTGTAGATGACTTGTTCCAAAGCCAAAGGTGTATAGTGTCTAGGATATTTATAGTAGGAGTAGCTGACTGTTGCTTAGAGCAAATTCAAAAGAACAGGTTGAAATGGACTCAAACAGTTGGTTCAAAGGAGTTTCCAACAATCAACAGACCCAAATAGCTTTGGGTCAAGCATAGTGAGGGAACGTGGAAGTTTTGTTCAGTTGGATGGTGTGCTCCCATGTCGTATCACCACCTGTTGTGATACAAGTACCAGCCAACCAGCCATCTTGCCTTTTGAAACCTGTGAATATCGCACCGCCAAATTGGATCCATCCCCGTCCCTCCCGCACCAAAGGGTGGGGCGATTTTTCTGGAAGCTGCAAAATGCCGTGGAGTCCAAGCGAACGACCGTGTGGTCCCATGCCGCGCAAACCATGTGATCATATATGACCTCATATCCTCTCGAACTCTCTACGTGTGACAGGCCTGCTCTGGAATGAAGCAACCAACAGGTCTCTCTGAGATTCATTAAGCAATTGTTGAAAGCCACCTGTGAACCCGAGGAAGGTCGGCTCCCTTTCGGGGTGGAACATTCTATATAAATCCTGTGGTTTGAAGACTGCCCAAAAAAGCATGCAAACATATGCAAACAACTCTTGCACTACAGTACCAGGGGAGTGGAAACCAAGCAATCCACAGCTGTATCTTTAAATGCCAGCCACCAACTATGTCAAATTCACCAGCCATGAACTTTCTTTCTTCTACAGTAGAGTTGAAATTGTTGGCTGTCCACTTTCTGCGCTTCTTCAACATGCAACTCTCCAACTCATCATCATCTCATCCTCCCCTCCCGAAACTCATCGTCCCAAGCCACAGGCCCCAAAGGCGTCCATGGCGGCGAGGAGGGCGACGCCGGCTCCTCGTCATTGAAGGGCACCTGCGAAGGGGTCCAACAGTTCGGAAGCCTGGTTGACCTCAAAAGATCCAAAAGTGGAAGAAATTCCTTCCAAGAAATGAACCTTTGATGCCTGACCTATGCCTATATACCACCCGACCTCATTCTACATAATAGAGTCATAAAATGTCATAAGTCATAAAATTAATAATGTTCAAAGATCCTATGTTCCAGGATGTTTGAACAATTTCAAGGGTTATCATCTAAAAAAACATGGAGGTCTTGTTTTTTGAAGCCTCACCTGCCGCGTGAAGGATCTCGAGGTCGGCGACTCCTCCAGCTCCACCGGGCGACTCGGTCGACTGCGGCTGCCACCCATGGCGCCGAAGCAGCACGTGCTTTCGGCCGGGCGCGCGTGTGGTGTGGACAGGTCTGTGAGGTCGAGGAGAGGAGTGGAGTGATCAGGTCTGAGGTCTGAGTGGGTGGGTGGAGTGAGTGTGATTGGGGCTCTGAGTTTGACAGGGTGGGGTGGGGTGGAGGAAAGTTTGGGCTGTTGATAGTGGGGGAGTCATGGTTAAAGTGCCCTGTGTAGAACTCTCAATGCACCGCAAACATACATCATCATACACGTATAATCAGTGTGGTTTCATGTGGTTTCCCTGGTCTCACATACTATCGCGGCTTTATCTCCTCATCAGCTTGTCCGCGGTGTAGGAGTATCATATGCTGTTGCCAATGCATGTCTGGCTGTCCCATCCTTTGCGGCTTGAGCTGTCCAGAATTAGGCCGCGGGATGCGGTCATGAGTCATACGCAAACAGAATCTGTCGTGACAGCCTCTGCTATAAGCACATGAGATGTGGCAGCTGCACCTCATGGGCAAACGCATCCTCAAGTGCAGTGCGAAGGGCTTCTGTAGACTGTAGACTGTGGGGGGGTGCTTGCATGCCAACAGGCCAGTGACCGGTAACCTTCAAAATGGATGTTTCGTCGACTGGCCTGAAGTCAGTAGGACTATTTGGGATGTTCCCTACTGGACGCTCCAATCCAGTGGCAATGGACAAGCTACACAACAGTGACAGTGTCGCACAAACAGCCAACCCAAACCCAGCAAACTTGCCTCTATGACTGATGATGTTGATAAACAAACAATCTCCTGTGACCTCTGCCTTTCTCAAAAAGAAGCAGCAATGATCAATCTCTTCCGTCCTTCCCTTTTTACCCTCCCTTCATCTCCTTTCTCCACTCTCAGAGTCGACGGCACCAACCTCGAAGCGCGAGCCGTCCAAGCCGTCGCAAACGGAGGGGTCTACTTGGATGACTCCTACAGGGAACCGTACTCCCGGAACCGAAGAATTCTGCTGACATCACCCACGTCCTGACAGCTTGATTCTAGTCGTGTTGTGAGGACCCCCCCCACCTGAAACTCAGTCAAGAAGAGATTGATAGCACTATTGCCTGTGAAGATTCCACTGGAACACAGAAGAACAACACAGTGCATGCCTGATCATTTATATTTGACATCATCCCCAAATTAGTACTTCAGTTGGAAACCCAAGTCAACCCCTCCAAAAACCTGGCGTCCATCCGCCTTCCCTTCTCGCCCAAGCATCTCTCTGGAAGGCCTTCAGCAAGCGAACGCAGCTCAGATGACTTCGCCAGCTGCTCTGCTAGCTGCGGTTCTACTGTCAGCCGCTGGTGGAACATCAGCGCGCCTGGGGCGTGCGCATCCAGTGAAGGGCGTGTGACGAGGTACATGGTGTGTATGAAGTATAGTTGAGGTGTGGTTGGTGAACCAACATGTTGTGATCATGCTCGGCACACTCTACAAATCCCAGAGCACCTGTCAAGTATATTAACGGTGCTCCCGAAGGACAAAACTCCGAACTCAAATCCTAAATGGTCATGACCAGAGTCATTTGGAATTTCAGCCTTAAGGGATGTATGTATCAATTGAAAACAAGTGCCTCGGTCTTTCAAGCGCCGGGCGCGAACTTCTGGACGCTGGCCACTTCAGTAAGCAAGCTGACTTTGGCCTCGGCGGGGGAATAAGGCAGGGGAAGGATCTCACCACCACGTCAAGGCACGGGTCGAAACTTGTGTTCAGCAGCTTTAAAGCCTAAACATATAGTGGACTCTCTCACGGAGGTAACTGCAGCGTAGGTGCAGAAACACAATCACTTGCTATAGTTAGTTGATACATTATATGTTGATATACTGTTGATGGAAGAAAAGATTGGCACCACCTGATACACACCAAACATGAAATGCAACTGGCTTTTCTCAGTGTTGCATCTCGGAATCCTCTTGGCAGCTTACTTCTCTTCCCTTGGTTTTGAACTGGGCTGATCACATGCCTTTTCCCATGACCTTCTCTCGAAGGTCGATCCCACGCCGCCGTGCTGCAGCCAGATGGGCTTTCACTCTACAAGCTGGCGCTTCTCCCAGTCTGAACTCGTAGCCATCACTGCTGGCATCTTGATGCAAGCAACAATGTTTGTGGCTAATGACGAGTGAACGACCAGCGCTCCAACAAGACTGGATCATGTCACCAACATTGCTTCTGTCAGGCTTATTTTCCACAAATGTTCCGTTCAACATGGGTGTGGCTGCGTAGCCCTATGGGCTCTGCCGAACCATCTGGACAAACTTGCATGGCCTGCATCTAAGGGGTCACCGGCCTATTCGCTTGGTTTTTTCCTGAAGCAAAGCTGGGAGGTCGACGCAATGCCAATCTTCGCCTGAAAGGATATTCGGCGTGGCCAGCCTGAACTCGTAACCGCAAGCGCTTGCCTGGCGCTGGTTAATGCAAGCAGAGATGCTCTTTGTGCAAATGCCGAGTGCTGTGGCAGCACTGCGGATAGATGGATGCTTTCTCCACTCTTTGCTGCTCTCTATTCTGCTCTCCACCAGTCTGCCGCTGAGACGGTGTCTCATGCTTGCATTCGATAAAAAGTGAACCATGTTTTCAGAACGCGTTACATACTCCAGGTTTTCAGCTGCGTTATTTCCTTTGTCCAGGTCTTTGTGGTTAACATGTGTGCGATGTTGAGATGGAGGCGGCCCGAGAAATGCAAATGTCACGAGACGGTGGACACGTTCAACGCGTTTTGAAGAGCTTAGGCTGATGGCGGTCCTGTAGTACCCTGACTTCTCCAAGCATCCCCAAGATACCAGGCCTGTTTTGGACTTGATCCGACCAAACGAGCTCACCATCCGTCCAGGCACCTTCAGGCCTGACACAGGATCATACATTTGTTGCCAATCCTCTCCCTCCAGTGGCCCTGTTTCACGATTGTCCGCAAGTTGAAACTCGTAGCCTTTCACTGCTTTACCTTGGCGGGAGGCATTGGAAACTGACCCCCTGCTCACACCAAGCTCTTGTGCCGCCTGCGTTATTGAAGGGGAGGCGGTCCAGCTTTGGGAACCAACAGCCCTCCACATCACAGGTATGGACTGCTGAGCCCCGCCACAACGTCTACTTTGGCTTGCATAAGAGGCAATGGCGTTCTGGCTTGGTGTTACATACTCCAAGTTGTCCAAACGATTGTTGGCCTTGTTGCCATCACGGTGATGCACCTGCCATGTCGAGCCGTCAGGTGGAGGACCAAAAAAGAACAAGGCCACCAAGCGATGGACAAAAAAATGATTGCCTGAGATGTTGACGCTGCAGTAGCCTGTTGGATTTAACGTTCCACATGATATTACTCCTTTGGTGTTGCACACCCGGCCATAGGAACTGACCTGCCAGCAGTTTTCAACTGCACATCGTTGGATCGGCCCACTGGATGTGCATCTCCAAGCATAGAAAATAGCAAAGTTTCTGGTGCCAAACAACTCTTGCCACGTCTGTCTGGAAATGGCCCAACTAGCAAACGCCATAGCGCGACTTCAAGTGCTAAAGCTACTTTATATTCTTTAATAGCAAGCAACTTCAAAGCCCACCATTGTGCATCTTCGCAATCTCCTTCATGTGCTGACTCTTCAGAACCCATCTAAACACAAATGTATAACTTAATCGAAAATATGTATATATTATATACGCTGCCTTGTTGAATCCCATCCAATCTCTCACCATATCTACAAACACAAGAGCTGCCCTTCTTGTTTTCAACAACTATGTAATGGAAGTGCTACATAAAAGTAAGAGAGTGCACTACGTGAAGCCGCCTGGAGCCATAGCTACCACCCTGGGGGCAAATGCTCAACACAGGGGCGGACGCTTCAAAGGGAAAGCACCATCATAGAACCTATCCTAGCCCTATGATACTATCGTAGTCCTGGGTTTGAATGTTTTGAGCCATGATCTTCTGCTGATGTGAGTGGCACTTGGTTCTACACATCTTCACCACACATGTTTCGTCGGCTTGGGGCTGAACCCTGCAAATTCCCGCATGGAACGTTATTTAGTTCCTATGGCATCTGATGGCATCATCCGTCTATTTCATTCATCAGCACTGGTCTTCAGCACGGCCACAAGCAAATGGAGAAATCAAGAAGAGTCTGCCCATCCCAAATTGACAGTAGGCGCTTCCACTTCTTACCGTCCCACCCAATCCGCTTCCTTCATCCCAGTGGCCCGCGGCAAACACTTCAGAAGCGGCACCTGTAGCTGGGACTGGGAGCGCCACCAAGGACCAGCAAAGGCCCGCAAGGGTGCTCCAAAAACACATGTCCCTAGTGTGTCGCTAAAATGCAGCGATTGAATGAACATCCTTCGCTGCACATATCCATATCTAGCCTCAACTGCTGCAAGATTCCGACCTCCCACCACTTCCCCATCACTATCGATCCAACTCCCCAAGCACCAAAGCCACCACCATCTGAAACCCCCTGTGCTACACAAGTGAATGTCAGCCGTCCACTTTCAATCAGAATGACGTATAATATATATATATATATATTTATATATAAAAGGAGTTGAGGATAGTGGAGGTGATCTCAAGGAATCGTTCTAGAGTGGCCCTGTCGCAGCAGTGATTCTCTGAAACCCATCAACTCTCCACCACTATCGATCCAACTCCCCAAGCACCAAGCACCAAAGCCACCACCATCTGCCTGTCTCAAAAACTCGGTGAGTTCTTGTGGCTCGTCCTTCTTCCCACCCAAGCTCAAGGCCGACCAGCTCCTGCCGTCATCCGCCGCATTCGGAGTCTCTCAGAGGCATCGCGAGAGTGAGAGGCACTTGGGCAATGATGAGGGAATTTGGAGAACGCTGAAGACTCACGAAAACCTGAAAGCCAGCTATGAATGTTGGACCCCAAATGTGCTCTTTCCTATACGAAGTTCCTTCCTATCTGCCAAGAAGAGGAAAGAACCAACAACAAACAGAAACAACGTAACGACAACAACAAGAACAAGAAACCAACCGTCTGCCATGAGTCAACCCTCCTGGACTTCGATTTGCCTTTTCCATGGTTTTCCATACCCTTGCCCCCTTCGGCCTGGCCAGAAAGGGTCGACTGGACTTGGAGCTTTGGCTCTTGGGACTCAATGGGCTGGGCTCCGGCGAGGAGGGTCCCGAGGACCTGCCGCGGCGTGGAGACTCGGAAGACGCCGGAAGATCACCGAGTCCATCCGAGCCTCCCACAAAAAGGAACGGGGGAGAAGCTATAGAGTCTAGATATGCCTAGATGCATGGCTGAAGATTTCTGGAGCTGAGAAGTGTGCTTATTTGGTTGGAATTGTGGGTGTTCAGGAAGAGCTGGAGTTTCTTGTGGGGGGTCCAATTCCAAGTTGTTGTAGCCAAAAGGTGGGGATTGAGTTTCCAGCAGTTTTGAAGGATTTTAGATGATGTAAAAGCCTTCTGTGTTCGAAGGGGTCGCAAAAGCCGGGCCTACATATCATGATTCATGATCAATCTCAAATGGTTTTGTTCGATGGGGGTTGCAAAAGCTGGGCCATCATGGTCGATCTCAAATGGTCTTGTAAAGCTGGGCCTACATATCATGATCCATCCCAAATGGTTGTGTCAGTAATACGGCTCATCAAATTATTGGCTTTTGTTGAAACGAAAAGCTCCAACTGCCCAGCCGATGATGCTTAATTGTCTTTTTCCGGGTGGTTTCTTTCTCGGTGCTTCCATACTCACCCAGTCATGCCGGTGTCTTTCTTGCATTGAAGATAGTTGGCTGAAACCCGCCCAAACCGAGCCAAGGCGAAACATTCCACGCACCGCTGGGCTCTTCAGAGCTCCCCCCCGGTCCTGCCGAAGAATTGCCGTCCACCCAAGCTCAAGCTCCCAGTGCCAGGACTCACCTGAGAGGTCGAGGCAGTGGCCCAGGACAGCTGACTGTTGTTGAGACTGTTGATGTAGATGCATTCTTCCAAAGTCAAAGGTGTAGGATATATAGTAGGAGTAGCTGACTGTTGCTTAGAGCAAACTCAAAAGAACAGGTTAAAATGGACTCCAACAGTTGGTTCAAGGGAGTTTCGGACAGTCATCAGACCCAAATAGCTTTGGGTCAAGCATAGTGATAGAATCTGGAAGTTTTGTTCAGTTGGATGGTGTGCTCACATGTCGTATCTGTATCACCACCTGTTGTGATACAAGTACCAGCCAACCAGCCATCTTGCCTTTTGAAACCTGTGAATATCGCACCGCCAAATTGGATCCATCCCCGTCCCTCCCGCACCAAAGGGTGGGGCGATTGTTCTGGAAGCTGCAACATGCCCGCGCAGTCCAAGCGAACGACCGTGTGGTCCCATTCTCTGCCGCGCAAACCGTGTGATCATATGACCTCATATCCTCTCTAATCCTCTACATGAGACAGGCCTGCTCTGGAATGAAACAACCAACAGGTCTCTCTGAGATTCGTTAAGCAATTGTTGAAAGCCACCTGTGAACCCAACAGGGAAGGTCGGCTCCCAAAACGGAGGAAAACCCACCTCCAAACAACCCCGTGCAGTGCAGGAATCGGTCGCAGAGACGTCGAACTGAAACACCTTCTGGGTTCATCCGGGTTCTTTTGGGGTTTCCCCTCACATTTGGAGCCATGGTGAACTCCACCCTCTTTCGGGGTGGAACATCCTAAATCCCCTCGTCAAACTCGTAGATTGCCCAGAAAAGCATGCAAACATAGATGCAAAAGACTCTTGCACTACAGTACCAGGAAGTAAAAAACCAAGCAATCCACAGCTGTATCTTTAAATGCCAGCCACCAACTATGTGGAATTCACAAGCCATGAACTTTCTTCTACAGTAGAGTTCGAATTGAAATTGTTGGCTGTCCACTTTCTGCGCTTCTTCAACATTCAACTCTCCAACTCATCATCATCTCACCCCCCTCCCCGAAACTCATGGTCCCAAGCCACAGGCCCCAAAGGTGTCCAGGGCGGCGAGGAGGGCGACGCCGGCTCCTCGTCATTGAAGGGCACCTGCGAAGGGGTGGGTCTAAAAGTTTTGAAGCCTAGCTTACCTCAAGGGTGGAACAAATTCCTTCCAAGAAATTACACCCTTGATGCCTGACGTATATACCACCCGACCTCATTCTACATAATAGAGTCATAAGATGTCATAAGGCATAACACTAATAATGTTCAAAGATCCTATGTTCCAGGATGTTTGAACAATTTCAAGGGTTATCATCTAAAAAAACATGGAGGTCTTGTTTTTTGAAGCCTCACCTGCCGCGTGAAGGATCTCGAGGTCGGCGACTCCTCCAGCTCCACCGGGCGACTCGGTCGACTGCGGCTGCCACCCATGGCGCCGAAGCAGCACGTGCTTTCGGCCGGGCGCGCGTGTGGTGTGGACAGGTCTGTGAGGTCGAGGAGAGGAGTGGAGTGATCAGGTCTGAGGTCTGAGTGGGTGGAGTGAGTGTGGTTGGTGCTCTAAGGGGGTGGGGTGGGGTGGGGGGAAGTTTGGGCTGTTGATGATGGACTTGGGAACTCATGTCGCTTGGGTGATGTGAAGAAAAGGGCTGGCTGGGGATGGCTGGGGAGTCTGTTTTACAGTACCCTGTTTGGAACTCTCAGTTGACCGCAAGCATACAGCAATCAATACAGTTGTTTATTGAGAATGGTCTTCCTTGTCTCGGGTTGCGGCTTTATCTCCTCATCAGTGATCAGCCTGTCCATCGTGTAGGAGTATCATATGGTGTTGCCAGTGCATGCCTGCCCATCCTTTGCGGCTTGAGCTGTCCAGAATTAGGCCACGGGATGTGATCATCAGTCATACAGAATATGCTGTGATGGCCGCTGCTACTCATGTGGCAGCTACACCTCATGCTCGAATGGATCCTCAATTGCAGTGCAACGGAAGTCCGTAGACTGTGGGGGGTTCTAGGGATTATGATTCCTCTGGGTATTTGC